TCCCACGCCCAAATCCTTGCCTATTCAAAAGTTAGTTAGGAGTGCCCACTTTACAGAACATGACAGTGTGTCCAACAGTGCTCCACAGGGGCTAGACAACAGGAATCCTTATGTGCACCCTTCTGCCTCAGGTCTCACGGTTCCAGTGGGTGGGGAGGAGGGGGCATGTCATGCCATCCTCAGCCATCTCTGGATGTGGACAGCCATGCAAGGAATTTTTCTCATCAGCTCTGGGGCTGAAGATAACAGTTCCTTGCATCCCTCTCTACCTGCCCTGCTCTTCTAGCCTGGTGTATGGAACCAACAAACAAAGCAACCCCTGTTGCATCCCCTGATGGAGAACACCACACCATTGCATGCAGTCATAGTGATTTCCAAACACTTGGACCAAGGGGTGGATCAGGGGGACTGTACATCTGCCTGCAGCTGATGTGCTCCTTTTCTGAAATGCTTAAGTGCAGGAGCATTGGAAGCCATTCACAAGTTGCATCTGTCCATTACCTAACAGGTAGTACAGAGTGGTTCCTATTCCCCCCCTCTATTTCCACTTCCATTCCTTCCTCTTGAACCCCACCCCCCCACTAAAAATCTATCACACAGGGAGTGATGTCTTTAATTCCTTAGCCTGAATGACCACCTACCTGTTTACTGCTGGGTTGACTGGTAACATCTTTCAGTAGGAGTCCAGAACAGAGCTTGAACCCGTGCCTGCATAACTGTAGCAAGACACTTTAACAGCTCTGCCACCAGCAACACTAAGAGCAACTCCACAAAGTTGTACTACTTCTCCTATGCCTTGTAGTCAACAGCATTACTTCAATTTTATATCACTGCCACAGAAATGAGAATCTGGCATAATTTCTCTCTCCCCCATGAATGGTGACTGCATTACAAAATTTCACATCATCACCTTATTCATACAGCAGACCTGTTAAGGTGGCATTTAGTTCTGTTATCCATGCTAACATGTTTACTTTGAACTGGCCTTGCTCCACATTATATATTTGCGAATCCAACACAATTTTGCTTATACCTCTTTTCCTGTGCACAAATCTTTTGTTTTCTCTCTTGTCCTAGTCCCCTGGTCCACACAAGTGGAGTGCAAGATTTCATAGACATTTGGGCTGGAAGGGACCCCGAAGGATCAAGTCCAACCCCCTGCCCCATGAGCAGGAACTCAGCAGGGATCATAGGATCCCAGCAAGATAAGCATCCAAAATGTGTCTTGAAGGCATTCAAAGTGGGTGCTTGAACTGCCTCTGGCGGCAGTCTACTCCAAACCTTGGGGGCTCAGACAGTAAAGAAGTTCTTTCTTATGTCCAGCCTGAATCGGTGGTGGCGGAGTTTGTGACCACTTGATCTTGTCATCCCTTGGGGCGCTCTGGTGAAAAGGCGTTCCCCCAGATCCTGATGAGCACCCCTGATAAACTTACAGGTGGCACCAGATCATCACTGAGCCTGCGCTGTTCCAGGCTGAAGAGTCCCATGGCACTCAGCCTCTCATCATAAGGTCTGTTTTCCTGACCTCTGATCATGTGCGTGGCTCTCCTCTGTACCCTCTCAAGCTTCTCCACATCCTTTTTGAATTGTGGAGCCCAAAACTGGACGCAGTACTCCAGCTGTGGCCTCATGAAGGCCAAGTACAATGGGAGAACGACATCCTGGGATTTGCTTAAGAAGCATCTATGGATGCAAGCCAGCGTTTTGGTCACTTTACTAGCCACAGCATCCCATTGCAGGCTCATGTTCATCTTGCTCAATGATGACCCCCAAGTCTCTTTCTTCCATAGTGCTATCCAGCGTAGCACTGCCGAGCCTATAAGGATGCTGCGGGGTTTTC